TAAAAATCAAACATCTTACTATAGCACATTTTAATTGTATTTCAAAAAAAAAGTCCTTATTTGACATCCATTTGCATAGTATATATTGTATATTGGGTGTGGCTGGGGGAGGTGGGAAGGTTTGTGGAAGGGTGTGGGTGGGTGTGAGGTTTGGGGGGCTGGGTCCAGGGTTTGTGGGTTGGTGTGTGCCCCCATGGTGCACAGCCCCTGCTGGTAACAGTGGCATCAGCAGCAGTAGGCAGCAGGTGCTCATGGCAGGCAGAGTCCCCACAGTGGTGCGCCAGTTTGGCTGAGCCCTGGGATCTGCCCATGGCAGCAAGGAGCCGGCCTGGGCCAGCCTGCTGGCATGCAGCTTTGGGCAAGACCAGATTGGCTGCCAGCATGTGGGACGCCCAGCACTGTGAGCAAGCGCTGCGTGCTGTCTGGCTGGGCTGGCTCCCTGCCTCCTTGTGGTCCTTCCAGTTGTCCAACGGGGAGCTGCACATGGAGGCACGGAGTCAGCCAGGCCCTGCCCAGCAGGGCACACTCCTGGCTGTAGTGCTGGGAGGCCCACATGCTGGCACGGAGCCAATCCAGCCGGCCTGATGGCACGTGGTTCCCAGAAATAGTGCCGGGATCCGCACGTGGTAGCATGGAGCTCACCTAGCCCAATGGTGTGCAACTCCCCACAGCTCCAAGTTCACGTGCCATCGGGCCAGGCAGGCTGTGTGCCACCACGTACGGCTCCCAGCTGTCCTTCCGGGAGCCACTTACCATCGGGTCAGCCAGGCTGGCCAGCACATGGGGCTCCCAGCGCTGCAGCCAAGAGCACGTGCTGCTGGGCCAGGCTGGACTGGCTCTGTGCCTCCATGTGGGGCTCCCAACACAGGATGCGGGAGCTCCCCTCCCCACTTACCAGCTGTCTGGTTGCGGGCCCTCGTGCCCATGCCTCCACATGGGGCTCCCAGATGGAGTGCTGGGAGCCCCATGGAGGTGGAGGCACATAGCCCTCCCAGTCTGCTGGCGTGCAACCTCCAAAAGTGCACCTCCTGCTGGCTGTCAGAGGGGCAGCCATGGGCCAGAAATAATTGTTTTTTGGAGGGGCCTTGCTGGCCGGATAGAATAACCCGCCACAGGGCATACTTTGCCTGCCCCTGTGTTAAAGTAAAATTTGAAGTTATCAAACCTTGAAAATGGCCTGGCTACAAGTAAATATTTGACTAGTGTATCAATGCACCTTGAATGGCAAAATACCAAAGACTTTTTGACATTGCTTAGCATGACACCATATCAGACTTAAATTGGTAACTGCATTTCCAGAATGTTAATCATACATGAAGTGCTCCATTCTGCACACCCTTACAAGACTTACCTCTTTTATCTCCTTTCTCTTTTCTAATAATTGAAATGTTGGCGTATTGCTGTTGATCAGATTCATCATTTGCTGGAGGAAATCAATAGAAAAGGAGTTAAAAGACAAATTGCAAGGAATTATAAGTAGCTGGATTTAATTTTGGGAAGGGGGACAGAGTGAGACTCAACCTGGGGTATAGGAAACACAGTATCTTAATGCAATCAAGGGAGACATTATGTTTAGTGCTGTCCTGGGATGATTTTTTAGCTCTGTTTGAGCAAAGTGGTTCTGAATCACGTCAGAATTGAGTAACATTGAGAGAGAAGAATTAAACTACTTTTTGAACAGTACAAAGCAAAATATGGAACCTGTGTGCTCATTTTGTAAGTCTGCTATCAACATACAAGTCCTATCTTCAGAGCTTATAAATGAATGCTGTGC